CAACAAAACGATCCTCAATCTCACCATGCCTTCCTCAACAACATCTGAAATTTCAATTACCCCAAATGCCAACTCTGTTATTGTCCTAAACACTCACTTGTCAGTGAAACTGAGCAGCAACAATTTTCCTGCTTGGCACGTGTAGTTCAACGCACTCCTTGTAGGGTATGATCTCATTGGCTATGTTGATGGCACCACTGCCAGTCCAGCCCAAACAGATCCAACATACAAACATTGGAAAAGACATAATCAATTGATCCTGCATGCAATCATATCATCTGTTGATCCAAGCATCATTACCATGTTGGAGAATGTCAAGACCTCTAAACAAGCTTGGGACATTCTAACTAAGATGTTTGCAAGAAAAACTCGTGCAAGAATTATGCACCTAAAAGAGAGACTCTCTCGATTCAAAAAAGGATCACAATCCATCTATGAATACCTCAATTATATCAAGGCTTTATCTGATGAATTAGCCATCATCAACTCCCCAGTGGACGACGTGGATCTTGTTATCCACACTTTGAATGGCCTTGGCTCTGACTATCGAGAAGTGACTGCTTCTTTAAGAACCAGAGAAAATCCTATCGGATTTGATGATCTTCATGACCTCCTTTCTGATTTTGAAAATTATTTAAAGAGGGATGCAAGTGTTCAAGAAACTCCTCTCATTACTATTGCAAACACCACACACAAGGGAAAACAATTCTACAACAAAACACCAAAACAATATCATAATCACACAATGCCCATATCAACATCGTCGGGCTTCTCAAAGCGTGTAGTATGTCAATTTTGTGACAAACCAGGCCATACAGCCAAGGTCTGCTACAAATTGCATGGCTACCATCCAAATAATCAACCTCCTACTGCTCTTCATACTAGGGCCATGCCCTCAGGTGCATCTGATTGAATCTTAGACTCGAGAGCTTCCCATCATTTAACAAATAAGTTGGACAACATGCACTTGTCTCAACCTTACACAGGTTCAGATCAGCTTCTGGTTGGTTATGAATCTGGACACACCATCTCCAACATTGTTAAAATTATTTTAAAAACTCCATCTCAATCATTTCATCTCTCAAATGTTTTACATGTGCCTAAAATTACTCAAAAACTATTGTCTGTTTCATCTCTATGTCACACTAATCCAATTTCCATTGAATTTTTTTCTGATCATTTCTTGACAAAGGATTTGAAGATAAGGGAACCTCTTCTAAAAGGACAACATAGCAATGGAATCTACCACATGCCCCATCCATCATCTCCACCACATGCATTCGCCACAACTACATACATTCCTCTGCCATGGCATCACATATTAGGGCATCCATCTGATCGCATACTTAGACATCTCCTACCATCTCAAAAAATAAAGAGCCAACAACAACCTTGTCTATCATGCAATAGTGTTAAGAGTCACAAGTTACCTTTTTCCATTTCCAGTATCAAAACACAAAAACCACTAGAAATCATATATACTGATGTATGGGGTCCAACACACATCAAGTCTTTAGATGATTTTTCATATTATTTACTTTTTGTTGATCACTTCACCAAATATGTATGGCTCTATCCATTAAGAAATAAATCAGATGTCTCTACTTTGTTTCCCACATTCAAAAATCTTGTTGAAAACTACTTCAAAGAAAATAAAAAATTATTTCATTGCACTCTGATAATGGAGGAGAATTCATCAAACTAAAATCATTTCTCCACACACATGGTATATCTCATCTCACCACACCACCACATACACCGGAACTAAATACTCCAGCTGAGAGGAGACACGGACATGTAGTTGAAACTGGAAGAGCCTTATTACATATGTCAAACTTACCACCCGAATACTGGTCCTTTGAATTCAAGACAACAATATATCTAATCAATAGGTTACCAACCCCTATCCTCATCATGAAATCACCATATCAAGTCTTACACAAGAAAAACCCAACAACTTAACATCTTCATTCCTTTGGATGCCTTTGTTTTCCTTGGTTGTGACCTTATGTCTCAAATAAACTTCAATCCCGGTCTCAAGCATGCATATTCCTAGGATATGCAGAATCCCAATACAGTTATATATGTCTTGACCCAACAAATCACAAAATATACACCTCTCGGCATGTCAAATTTTATGACCATATTTTTCCATACAACCAACTTGTCAAACCTACACCACCACCATCTCTAACCATACCCAACATGCCACAATCCCCTCATACCATCATACCTATCCTTCAACAATCACCAATCGAGTCACAAGCTATGCCCCATGAAGAGGAGGATCTTTTGACTTCAAATACAATGTCAGGTAATGATACTCATACACCTAATCTTGTTACTACACCTATTGTCACGTCTAATACCTTTGCAACCCCTACTACTGAAACAAACCAAATTATCACAAGGTCCAAGAATAATATATTCAAGACAAAAAGAATGTACACTGCAACAAAACATTCTCTACCTGAGAATTTGGAACCTTCAAACTTTCGTGAGGCAATAAAACATGCCCATTGGCGTCAGGAAATTGCCGATGAGTTTGAAGCATTAATAAGAAATGGCACATTCTCTCTTGTACCACCTAAGGCAGGGAAAAATATTGTTGGATGCAGATGGTTATTTTGTATCAAGAGAAATAGTGATGGTTCCATTGCTCGCTAAAAGGCACGTCTTGTTGCCAAAGGGTTCACACAATGTCCTGGTATTGACTTCAAGGAGACATTCACACCAGTTGTTCTCCCACAAATAATTAAGATTATTCTTACCATTGCAATCTCTCATCAGTGGTCAATGCATCAACTTGATGTGAACAATGTATTCTTACAAGGAGCTCTTACTGAAGAGGTCTTCATGGACCAATCGCCAGGTATGAAAGATGCATCACACCCCAACTATGTATGCAAACTTCACAAGCCCATCAATGGCCTACGTCAAGCACCAAGAGCATGGCATGACTCTCTGAAAGAATTTATTATCACGTATGGATTTCAAGCAAGCAAAAGTGATCCATCATTGTTCATTTATCACTCGGGTGATACTAAGGCTTATTTTCTAGTCTATGTAGATGACTTATTGCTCACCGGTAACAACTCTACATTCCTTCAAAGCTTCATCAAGTCATTATCTCAACGATTTTCATTGAAAAATATAGGACAACCTCACTACTTTCTAGGTATTGAAATAGTACCAACAAGCTCTGGCATTTTTCTTTCTCAACACTGGTACATTCGTGACCTCTTACAAAAGTTTGACATGAAGGGGGTGAAACCATCTCCCACACCACTTTCTTCCACCGCAGTGCTACAACTTCACGAGGGTACATCATCCACCGATGCCACAAAATTTTGTAGAATTATTGGTGAACTTCAGTACCTTAATCTTACTCGTCCAGACTTATCATACTGCATCACTAAGCTGTCTCAATTTATGCATAAACCAACCTCCCTTCACTTGCAGCACTTGAAACGCATCCTTCGGTATATCAAACAAACCATTAATCATGGTCTCATGCTACGAAAAACTGCCGCAAACAACCTGCTAACATACTCTGATGCAAATTGGGGTGGGAATAATGATGATTGCACATCCATCTCAGCTTACATCATTTTCTTTGGAGGCAACCCAATTTAGTGGCTCTCAAGAAAGCAAAGAACTGTTGCACGGTCATCTACTGAGGCTGAATATCGCGCAGTTGCTACCGCTACCACTGAGCTCATGTGGCTACAAAACTTACTTCATGAGCTAAGAATACCCATACATGAATCTCCACGACTATTGTGTGACAATGTGGGTGCTACATACCTTTGTTCCAATCCTGTACTTCATTCAAGAATGAAACATATATTATTAGATTATCATTTTGCAGGGAACATGTTCAAACCAACAAGCCCATCGTAACACATGTGTCTACCAAGGATCAGCTGACGGATTTACTTACTAAACCACTTCCCACAACCAAGTTCACTGAACTCGTGTCCAAGATAAAGATCATTGATGGAACCTTCATCTTGAGGGGGACGTAATGGACAAACAGAATCAATTTGAATAATCAAGCAATTAAAGAATATTTGAATTGGTCATCAAATATTAAAGGAGAGTTATTTGGTTATTATTAGCATTTAGAAGTATATAACTCTATCAAGTAGTAACAACCATGCATCAAAAGTTTAGGCTTAATTCAAGCATTTTCTATTCAATTCTTACTATGTAATATATGTATATATACTCAACTGCATATATTAGAAAAATATAATTTGAGAAATTCATTCATTTATAGCTGGGACATGCGGTCCGCATACACATTCAACTTTATTTTTGTTTCTTTGCTACACACTTCACAACTATACTCGTCTATTATGTGATTTATTCCTAATAGAAAATAAAACTGTCTTGTTTATTTTCAACGAGGTCATTATTAGCTTTCCTATGCGAAAATACATGTTTGTCATTATTAGCTTTCCTATGCGAAAATACATGTTTGTCTGGTTTAGGCCAGCTTCACAAAAGTCTGCAAAAGAAAAAAGGAGTGAGTATAATTAAGGATGCGAGTCTAAAATTTTAATTTGTCTCGCAAAAAAAAATAAGGGCGAAGCAGGAAGCTCCGCGGTCATTGCACCTTTTTGTGACCCTTTTCATCTCTTCAAATGCCAATGCAGTTCTATAGAGTCGCAGCGCGAAAAATACATGAACGTAAGAAACACTCAAAATACAACTACAAAACTTCATTTATTTCATAAAAAAGAAAAATATCAATAAACCCTTAAAAAAAGAGTGGTCCCGACCAAATTAGAGTTTAAAAGAGAATGGTTTGTGATGATATGCGGCGTAATAAGCTACTAGCCGAACTAGTAATTACCCATCAGCTAGCAAATTAAGTAACTAACACCTTAAGTAACAAGTAACAAGTTCTATATATAAAAAAAAAAGTTAGTTTGGAGCATGACACTGCAGTGTGTTCGGCGGGAAATCTCCGATTTGCATCCACACATTTCTCTATGAATTTCATGCCAGTTCTTCACTTTCTTCCCCTTTCTAACTTTTTTTTTTTTTGCTACAGGTTTTCTTCTTCTCATCATCGCAGTCCAAGAGGGTTTTCTTCTTCTCATCATCGGAGTCCTAGAGGGTTTTCTTCTTCTCATCATCGGAGTCCAAGAGGGTTTTCTTCTCTTATTACTTCACCCACGCCGATTTTATTTGTTAGGGTTTCTGTTCTTTATTACTTCATATGTAATTTCAAAGAAACTCATTCTTAGTTGCTTGTAACTCTATTACTCCATATTTAATAATCAAACTTTATACCTTTCAATTGCTACTACCCATTACTGCACAATCATCACTCTCTTGTAACTTTTTTTTACTTTTACTTTTCTTAATTCATATTCTTTTCTACATTTTTACTCGTTATATACATTCAATTCTACTTGTAATATTTGAGACAAACTGTAACAATTTCTTCATGGGGAGCCCTGGGTTGAGCAACCGCAATTGCCGGCAGCACCACTGCTTAGGAATTACAGAACCCATCTCATTCATTGGACCCACCCAATATGATATCGCCAAGTCCCGTGAACTCGACAAGGTTCTGTTTCTGCCATTATAGTCAATTCATTAGTCTTTATTTTTGAGCTTTTACTAGTTCTCTTGTGCTGAATTTTGATTTTGGATTTCAGTACTTGCAAGACGCCGCCTTGTATGAAAATCAGGAGGAAGCAATTTGCAGGGAACAAGTGCTAGGCAGGCTAGACCAGGTTCAATTTACTTTGTCGATTCATTGTATGAAAATCGACCGAAGATATTCGAACTTATTTGTGATTTGCTATACTCGCCGTGCATGTAATTGTTGATTTATTTAGAACAATTGAGATTATTGTCCATTTTTGCGTGATTTCGATCCCAAGAAACCGAGGTAAAGAAGCATACGCCTTCTCCGGAAATATTATCGAGTTTAGGGTTTGTGTATTCCATTTATATGAATTTTATTTTCTTATTGCATTTCATGTTATACCATCTTGGAAAAGTGGTGGGCTCCTTATGAATTAATATATTTTGGATGTCATGTTGTGAAATGAATTAGATTGTGAAGATTTGGGTCAAAACCATTACGCGTGCAAAGGGATTTAACGAACAACTGGTGCAAGAAGCAAATGCCAAGATTTTTACTTTTGGCTCCTATCGTCTGGGGGTATAGTGCTGTTTTTCCTTCCAAATTTTTCTTGTATGCGTGCTCCCTCACACTTACTTGCACTATTTTATCTTCGCATTGCACATTAAGCTTGGACTATTTTATGAACAGAGAATTCAGGAAGGAGATGATTAGGACGGCATTGTCATATGGCTTGCCGTTCCAATAGATCAATTATTTTCTATTTATACCTTTTCATGTCAAATGTGATGTATCTATTCAATAATTTATTTTGTTGGTTTTATTATATTACCATTTTTTATTCAAATTTTGTAGGTGCATGGCCCTGGAGCAGATATTGATGTTCTTTGTGTGGGACCTAGACATGCAACCAGAAAAGTGATGATTTTTGCCATTTTTTAATGTAGATATAGGTTTTCAGGTCATAACTTCTACTGGCTAAAATTATTATTTGTATTTGCTTTAGGAAGATTTTTTTGGTGAGCTACATAAAATGCTATCTAAGATGCCAGAAGTGACAGAGTTGCATCCAGTGCCTGGTGCTTATGTTCCAGTGATGGGTTTCAAGTTCAACGGCGTCTCTATGGATCTCCTTTATGCAAATTTATATTTGTGGGTTATTCCTGAAGTAAGTGATTTATGGAAGACTTTTTAATGTGTGAAATACACCTCCCTTCATCTCCTCTGCAGTTTGCTTGAAACAAGTTTAAGGTGTAATCGTATTTTACAGTTTTATTTATCACTGAGTAATCTTGAATTTGGATAGGACTTGGATTTATCACAGGAATCGATATTGCAATATGCAGACGAACAATCTGTTCGCAGTCTTAATGGTTGTAGAGTGACTGATCAAATCTTGAACTTGGTTCCAAATGTTCAGGTAATTGATATAAATTTCGTAGACAAAGATACAATTTTTATGTTCAGCTTTAATGTGACTTCTGGCTTTCCTATAATTGGTTATGGCCCCGTTTGTTTTCAAACAGACCCTATATTTCCATTTCTGAACTGCAGAACTTTCGTACGACATTGAGATGCATGAAGTTATGGGCTAAGCGTCGTGGCATTTATTCTAATGTATGGGAAAGCTCGTGCTCTAGATGACTTATGTGGTGTTCATTGGCTGTTCTAACCCGAACTTTTTCAATGTTATTTGTTATTATGTTCTTTTACCTAACTTTTCTTCATGCTATGTCATGGGCAGGTTGCAGGTTTTCTCGGTGGTATAAACTGGGCATTGCTTGTTGCTCGAATATGCCAGCTATATCCAAATGCGCTGCCTAATATGTTGGTGTCTCGATTCTTTAGGGTATATACACAATGGCGTTGGCCAAACCCAGTAATGCTTTGTGAAATTAGAGAAGGATCTCTTGGACTTAAAGTTTGGGATCCTAGAATACATCGGAAGGATAAGAACCATCTAATGCCAATAATTACTCCCGCTTATCCTTGCATGAATTCTAGCTATAATGTGTCGTCAAGTACATTGCGTATCATGACGGAGGAATTTCAATGGGGACGTGAGATTTGTGAGGTAGCATTCTTTATTTTGAAAAAAAAAAGCTTTGTATTTTTGTTTTTGTTTGACAAGAAACCGCAACATTCGATGGATATTTGCGATGCTTAATATATTGCTTCTGATGTTTTATAGGATATGGATGCTAAGAAAAAGGCTGATTGGGATACTCTTTTTGAGTGCTATCCATTTTTTGAAGCTTATAAGAATTATTTGCAAATAGACATTTCAGCGGAGAATCCTGATGATCTTAGAAACTGGAAAGGCTGGGTCAGGTCTCGCTTGCGCAAGTTGACATTGAAGGTATTTACTTTAAGTTTTATTGATTATAGTTTCATTTATTTTCTTTCTCTCCTCTGCTTCTATTTGTTTATTTTCTGAAAGAGTTGTGGGGTGCAAATTTGTTCTTTACCCTTCTGCATTTAGATTGAGAGGGGCACCAATGGCATGCTTCAGTGTCATCCACATCCTGAGGAATTTTCAGACAAATCTAGACCTCTGCACTGTTCTTACTTCGTGGGTCTGCAACATAAGCAAGGAGTTCCTCCCAAAGAAGGCGAACTATTTGATATAAGACAAACTGTTGAAAAATTTAAGCGTTCTGTCAATAACTACAGTCAATGGAAACATGGAATGGATATATTTGTCACCCATGTGAAACGCCGCAATATACCTGTCTTTGTATTTCCCGGTGGTGTTCGGCCTAACTGCCCATCCAAGGTAACCAGGGTGAGCAAGCGAAGTTCAGGGCTTAGGATTTCCGGCCATGGTCAAGCAGAGTTAGGAGATAACAATGATAGGAAGAGAAAGCAAGCAGAAGATAGTGTGGATGTGTTGAGAAATTCCAAGTCCTTTTCAGGGGAGTACCCTTCTGGGAACAGAGACACTGGTAAGGAGAAAAGCATATCAGAAATTAACCCTCTACTTACTGCTACTGATAAATCTAGATCTAAAGACGCAGAAAATCTCGGTATCGAAGATATTACGTGTGGTTCATATGATGCACATCAAGTCTTTTCAGAAGAACCTGATGAGCTTGAAAATGATCTTGAGTACAGAAATGAAGACAAAGATTTTAGCGGGAACATGAAAAACATCAATTTGAACTCTCAATACTCAGAGTCTAAAGTGGCAGCAGACCCAATTTTTTCTCAAAAGGAAAATAGAAGTTCAACTCATATGTACTCCAATGAGAGCTTGGAGGAGCTTGAGGTTAACATCTTAATATATCTTACATTTGGAATATTTTCAACCATGGAATAACATTAAGAAATTTTTCTGACTTGTGTTTTTTCTCTGTTTCCCTTTTTTGCTTACACTTTTTTTAAAGCCTGCTGAGCTAACGCCGCCATTGTCAATTGTGAATTATGCACCGGTGCCACAGCGGAAGTCAATAATTAGGTAAAGCATAATTTGTTTAGCAATTTCTACTTGTCATGATTTGTTTGATTTCAATATTCTTGGAATTCGCTTCGAAGTTTATATCCTAGTTAAGCTGGATCATATTTAATTGGTTGATCATTCATTTCTTATTCTCAGGTTCACCACATTGGGCAAATCTGCTGACAAAGGCTCCCAAGACTTTTGCAAGCTTTAGCTGCTGATAGGCTGGGATGTTGATGCTCGTTTCTAGCTTCTTGCTTTCTGATTGACAATAATTTTGATATTGCAAATAAGCAGAGTTAGAATAACATGGAGCCATCAAACATGTTTGCGATCATTTTCAATTTCAAGTATAAGATTTAGGAACTCAACAGTGGAATAGCGATAGCATTAGATTGTTCCATGTGCGTAACTCTCTTCATACCGGAAGTCACTAAGCATTGATCGGCATGCTTAAGAATGAGATGTCAATGTCAGAGAAATGTAGAATTCATTCTATTGTTTATATTTTTTTGTATGGAATGTAATAGAGTAAATATCATATATAATGTGTAGCAAAATAATATAGGCAATAAAAATGTAATAAGTGTAGTCACCTTTATATGAATGAAGGAAAATACATAGTATTTTCTCATTTCCATTATGGTATCAATCGTCTTTTGATCCCTTCTGCTCCAAAACAAGAAAGTTTCAAAGAAGCTTTTATTCTTCATCAAGAAAACGTTTGAGAAGTCTCGTTCATGCTTCAGAGAAGCGTCTTCTCCTCCAGTCATCTAACTGGTTCCCTCAAGCTTCAGAGAAGTTTCATGTTCATCTTCATCCTCTCTTGTCACCGCAGTTGCAGCACTTCCCGTCATGAAATCACCTCCGAATTCTTCTTGCGTTTCTGAAACCCTAGCTTCCCTCTCCACTCGATCCCATTCGTCAGGAGTCAACACGTTTCGTCCAAAGTTGTCCATCAAGCTCAATGACAACAACTTTCTTTTGTGGAATCAGCAAGTTGAAGGTGTAATCCTCACCAACAGGTTGCACAGATTCGTGGTGAGTCCTCAAATTTCGTAGAAATTCAACTTTGAGCTTGATCGTCAAAATCTCGTCACCTCTGATGAGTATGAAGCATGGTTGGTGTAGGATTAGGCATTTTTCATCCGGCTCCTTTCGACTATCTCTGAATTTGTGCTTCTAAGAGTTCTTTCGTGCAAACACTCATTTGAAGTATGAAAAGAATTCACAAGCATTTCAACGCGATGATGAAGGCCAAAGTTCGCCAACGTGTTTTGAGCTCAAGACTACGAAGAAAGCGAATCGCACAGTGTCAGAGTATGTTCTCAAGATCAAGTCTATTGCTGATTCTTTGCTCGATGTAGGTGATGTTATCACAACAGAAGCTCATATTGATGCTATCTTGGATGGCGGTCTTCCGGAGGAATGCAGTCCGTTCGTGATGCAAATGTATGGTAAATCCAATTCCATCACACTCTATGATGTTGAAGCATTACTGTACGTGCAAGAAGCGCAATTAAATAAATTTAGACAAGAACTTGCACTTTCCAATGTCTCTGCCAATCTTGATGTGTCAAATTCCAAACAGATTGCTTCTTCATATCGAGGAAATCATACAACAGAGGTCGTGGCTATGGAGCTTGTGGCAGAAGCAGGGATCGGGGAAATTCCTCTTCCAGCTTTGAAAATAGACCAACTTGCCAACTTTGTGGCAAGTATTGACACGTTGTTCTGGATTGTTGGCACAAATTTGATGAAGCCTTCGTGCCTGATGCTTCTACTCATCAAACAACTCAAAGAGAAAGTGTTGATCAAGTGGCTACCACCTCCCAAAATGATGTTCCTCATGATGCCACAGCATTTATATCTACCCAGCATTCCTATGGAGCTACTCAGGAGCTGAATGTGCTCTCAGACCTTGATTCTTATGCTTGGTTTGCTGACTCAGGTACTTCCCATCATATCACTTCGTATTCTGAATTTTTGCATAGTGGTAAACAATACACGTGGTTGAAACAACCTACTGAAATCATCGGAAATCAATGAAGTCACCATCAGACATTTTTTATCCCGTGGAGGGGAAAGGTGAACATCGAGTAAACCTGAGGGGGTGAAACCACGATTAAACAACCGAGAGATACAAGTAAGGGAGTCGATTACGCGAGGGAAAGGTACTAGCACCCCTCACATCTGTGGTACTCCACGGGATCCACTCTTGTTGTCTTATCTAAAGGGTGTGTCTAAAATCCAAAAGCCTAAACTGTACAGGGAATGCATGAATGCAAAGGATTATATACAAAAAGAAAGTATTTATTAGTCGTGCCTGCCGCAGTTGTGAACCTTTATGCCTACATACCACCGACCGTGCAATGGGGATCAAGGCACTCGTAGTTCACCTCAAAAGTTTTGGTGAGTTGCATGTTTTTTTTGGATAATACCATGTTCGCATCTTGTTGCGATTGGTTTTTAAATCAAGAGTTTCCACTATCAGTTTTATCCTAGGGAAGAGCATCTAATAGGAAACCCTACTTCGCAGACAGAGATTCTAGGTTTCGAACTTCTTTAGACGAAAGGAAGGTGTTAGACACCTTTCATCTACCTTGTTCACAAGGATACTAGGTTTTAGGTTTAGGTTCGGGTAAAATAGGGTTTAAATTTTTTATAGGGGAAAAGAGTTTAAATTTTTTATAGGAGAACTCGCTACGATTTTTGATCGCATGTCTACGTATCCTCTTATGAGGAATCAGAGTCCCAATTCGTAGTTCGTATGAGTTTGTGTTTTTTAGGGGTTGCAAACGTACTTTGAATCACCTCGCATTTTGGCCGGAAGTAGTGATTGCAGAGATTTTGGTTAAATGCGCAGTAAGTCAAAATCTGCTTGAAACCCTTTTGCGAAAATGGTTGTTTAGATTAGTTGATTGCGAAAAAAAGTTTGAGATTTATTGAGTGTTTTTTATAGATGTTAATTACAAAAAATCTTATTAATGCATGATATAAAAATATTTAATACAAATAATATAAGAAAATAACATGCAATTTTTGATGTAAAAATAATTTAAGTGATATAATAAATGATATTAATATTCACAATAAAAATTAATAATTGTAATAACTATAAATAATAACAATAATCACAAAAATAGAAAATATTTTAATCAAAACAGGATGGTGTATCTTCTGGTTGTTAAGCCCTAGCGCAAATTCTGGAAAATGGATGTTTTGAAAGGGACAAAAGTTTTGCAGGGGATGCAGGGAAATTGACTGGGTTTTGGCCCCAGTCGTAGAACTTCTCAAGAGGTACGTTGCAAGCTGGTTAACAAAGTCAGAAAATAGGGGTGTTAACTTCTGGGCTAATCCCACTATGCATAATTTTTGGGAAGGCCAGACTGATTAGGTGCTGTGAAAATGTGTAAGCCTAAGGCTGATTCTGGGCAGGGGAAAGCCCTGAAAGGGAAGTTCTAACAAAGGGGGAGGCTTATCAGAACATAACAAAACAACGCGCGCATGTGAACTTGCATCAGGATATTAAATATGCATTTTACCCTTACTAATTATGTTTCTGTTGTGCTACAGTAAGATCAATGTTCTACCCCTATTCACCACAATCCCAACATAAAAAATAGTAAAGAAACAAACTAAAATTTGTTACCCTTTTGGCGCTTTTACTTCTGATTCAGGTGTGTGTTTTGTTGTCCTTTCCTTCTTCTTCTGCAGATTCTGGTGACAGCAGTGACGCAAGGTGGAGCGACAACGATTGAAACTAGGCTTCCAGATATTGGAAACTCAGTTACTCTTCTGCGTGTTCTTCTTCTGGATTTTACAGAAATTCTACTCTCCTTGCTCTTTCTTCAAGCGTTGCCATATTGCTTTTCTCTACAAATTCCTCTTTCTCCTTGTATTCTTTTTCTCTTTTTTTCTCCCCCTGTTTGCTAATTTGCTCCTCTATTTATAATGTTCAACTTTTGAGCTTGGACTATGGCTAGAGCAAAGATTGAGGGTAGAATTAAAAAGATTTGATTGGAATTGATTCTCTATGGAAGATTTGATTGAAATTGATGCAGTGCACGTCCAACAGATTTGGGCTTGGGTTGCTTAGCCTCTAAAACTCTGAGCTTGGGTTGTGGAAGATAATCTGATTCTACCCTTGCTTACAACTTGACTCTGCTAGAAGATCTGATATTCCAGTTCTGTACCAGTACTAGCTTGTGCGTGATTCTGGCTCTGATCTGCACTTTGCATTTGTTTCTGTAAAGACGAACTCCTGGGATTTGTTTCAGAAGTTCTGATGGGTTAGCGCTTGATCTATACAGTCTAGCACTTCTTCGTTTGTAGTCAGAACTTCTCCTTCAATTTCAATTGGGCCTAGCGTTAATTCTTCCCCTTTCTTTTGCATACTCCCGGACTTAATTTTCACCCCTCCTTTTTTAAATAACAACTAAATCTTCTTGATTTAAAGTACACCCCCTGATCTTGAATAAAGATAGTCCATTAGATATTGCTGTACCATCTTTAATTGAATAATTCATAAAAAAAGATCGCTGAGGTAGGACAAATTTGGGGTATGATAGCTGCCCCTATTCAACTATCTTCCGATCGAATAACGCGAGAAAATGCAGGTCTAGCGCATTTTGATTGGGAGTTTATTGAATACTTAGAGTATCCAAAATTTCTCTAATCCACTCATAAGGTTATGCTGATATGGCACACCCTCATGAGCCTTGAGAAAATAAGCAAAGCCGATGATATATCGCTCACCAGGGTTTGAAGTAGTGGGTTGGATGAGGAAAGTACATTGAGGTTCAGAAACAATGTACCGAGTTTTTGCGAATATGTTGAGGCTTAGAGGAAACGTAGTGAGCTAAGAGAGTACATTGAGGCTTAGAGGAAATGTACGGAATTTTTGCGAATACGTTGAGGCTCAGAGGCAACATAGTGAGTTGTGAGAGTACATTGAGGCTTAGAGGAAATGTACAGAATTTTTGCGAATACGTTGAGGCTCAGAGGCAACATAGTGAGTTGTGAGAGTACATTGAGGCTTAGAGGCAATGTACGGAGATTAGTGAATATATTGAGGCTTAGAGGCAACGTAGTGAGTTTGGGAAAGTACATTGAGGCTCAGAGGCAATGTACGGAATTTTGTGAATACGTTGAGGCTTAGAGGCAACGTAATGAGCTGTAAGAGTACATTGAGGCTTAGAGGAAATGTATGAA